CTTGAGCTGAGGATGGGATTCATGAACGGGAAAGCGGGATCAACGTCTCCGTCGGTAGAATCTTAATAAGCCTTAAAGGTTATTTCTGAGCGGTTCCAGTGACAATTGATGGTGTTGGCAGGGAGCCGTACCCCGGCCGATCCCATCCGGTACTGCCCAGGGCATGCTGCTGTGTTTGGGATGAGGAACAGCGACAGAAATACGGGCACCGTGGGCGCAGTCCACCGGGAGCGATAGCAATCGGGACTTGCAGGGCTCGGCATTCTGCGGTGCGAATGATCTCATTATCCTTGCGAGGGTCTCAGCCAGCTACTTGAAAAATACTTATTAAAAACCACAGCAGCTCTAGGGAGAGGGAAGGGAGAGAGAACAAACTGGATGTGTAAAAACAGAAGGGGGAAACAGCCACAGTAGCAATAATGGGTCGGGACCTGCTCTGCCCTGCTGTCTTTCTAGTGGAAGCTGAAAGGCCATGACACATCCCAGAGTGAACATCAGTGCTTTGCCCTGCTCTACTCCTCCAGCTACCGCATGTTCCCAGGAGACCTCGTGGTGGGGAGTGTTGGTGCGTGAGGAGACCCACCCAGCCCAGTCACCCAGGAGCCAGCCCCTGACACTGCCGCTGGTCAAACACCGGCTCACCCATTCCCCAGTGCTGCCCCGGCAGCGTCGGCCACAACAGGGCTCGCCTGGCTGTGTTTGAACACTGCCCTCCAGGTCGGGCGCAGACGGGCTCAGGAGGGAGCCCGCAGGTGTGCAGCGGTCCCTGGGGCTGCCTCCGGCCCGCTGCTCGTGCTGCTGTGTATTTACACCATCGCGGCACATTCCCACTGCTGCTTCTGACAACTGCATCTCCGTTTTTTGGCTCTGTGGGTTAAGGGCATACACAAGCTCTGGAGGACCTGTCATGTGTTCTCTAAGGAACCAAGAAATGGAAATCAGCAGGAAGTAGAAATTCTGCTGGAAAATGGAAGGAGCAAATGAAAGCAAAGGGCTGCTTGGGTCTGGTCACAGGACACAAGGCATTGGTGGTTCTTGCAATTACAATCACTAAGTTGCTGGAAGAGGGATAGCGCCTCTGGACAGCCACATCAGCAGCTCTGGGGCCTCCTTCCAAGCCAGCAGTGACGGCAGCACTGTGTGGGAGTCAAGAAAAAGCAAGAGGCCTGGGGGGAGACAAAAATCAGAGAGAGCTGGGTAAATGGAAAGAGACTGGTGGTGGGGAACACAGGGAGAACATCCAAAGGGCAGGAGGTAATGGGGACACAGACATGAAGCAGAAAGAGAGCGTCCCCCCTTCCCTTCCCTTCCCTTCCCTTCCCTTCCCTTCCCTT